GAAACTAAAACTTAAATGAGAAAAAGGAAAAAAGAAGACAGAGATATTTCCAAGTCAAAAAATTCTCTTGTTTCAAGCTTCCGATATGTTTGGGACAAAACATCACATGTTATATTATCTATGACCAAAAAGCTTCCGAAAAAAAAATGGAATTACCTTAGTATACAGCCATGTTTATCCAGCTTTAAAAAGTTGCCATTGTCAAAATCAAGAACTAATCCCCTCAAGCTGGAAGATAAAGGCAAGCTTGAATGTCAATCACCCAGGTGGGGACTCCCTTATAAAGGTTGGTAGGTATGCTTGACGGACCTTTTAGGGTGGAAAATAAAACCCTCGCGTACCTTTTAGGGTCCTGAGCTGAATCCGTATCTATTGGGGTCAATTTTCGAACAATAGGAAAAAAGTGTTAAGAAGTGTTAATAAAAAAGAGATTTAATTTATTAACCTCAACAATCTATCAATGCTGATTTTCTACAGTTTGTTAAACTTGAGCTTTTCTCTTGTTAAAGACGTCAAAAATGGTCGGACCTTTTAGGGTCTGGCATTGATACCTGAATTAATTTATGTCTACCTTTTAGGGTCATTTTTCAATCCGTCTGTCGAGCATGCTTCCATATTTTATAAGGGAGTTCCCCCGTTCTCATACACAGACATTTCGTCACATTGAAAACAAACAGAGTGTCAGCATTCAGCCTGTGAAATGGTCCAGGGTAATAGTTTGATCAACAGACAATCATGGTATATAGGTGGTATTTTATCTTAGGTTAGGTATTCAATATCTGCTTCACAGGCTTATTGAATGTCCCCATTCTATCAGGCACAGCGGGGCCGGTGTTGCTTGGGGAGGAGGGGACATTTTGAAAACATTCGTCCAATAAACCCTTGTAGCAATCTCTTTTACGCTGTATTAGCCTCAAATCCATGTAATACAATAAATTATTTTATTCACAACAGCCCGTGCAAATGCGAGAGAGATCTGCGAGTATAGAAGACAATGGAAATAGCTTGAAATCTCACGAGTTTTATCTACATTTCTGAATATTTTAGCACACAATTGAGGCTAACACAGCGTAAAAAAGATTGCGGAACTCAAATATTCATCTGTCGCTTCTCGAAAGTTGTCCCCTTCCAATTTAGCCCCCCTTCTCCAATAAAAATTATGCTCAGCGGTGCCTGTCTATACAATCAAAACTATCATATTACTCACTCTACTAAGACACTGACAAGACAAAGTACATGTAGTTTAGAAGAACAAGACAGTGTTTTAATATCTTAAGCCATGATCAAAACACGGATTTCTCCTGGATTCTGTTTCAGCTGCTGAAAGAAAAAGGAATAATGTCTTTGCAAAGAACCATACCATTTAATATGTGTTACACCTTAACTGTTCACTATGCCTCCCCCCCAACCACACCTTAACTGCTCACTATGGCCCCCCACCAACCCACACCTTAACTGTTCT